CACCATAAACAGCTCATTTTCAAGACCCCTTATTAAAACGGAGATAATAAAAATATTTACTCCTATTTTGCAGAGCTTAGAACAGAAAAAAAAAAAACAAAACAAAACACAAAACCAAGCAAACACACAAACCAACAAAACCCAGAACCTGTTTTCCTGATGCCAGAGGAGCAGGGGCTGGCATTCTCCTGGAGGCAGCCACTGGTGTTAGGAGGAAAATGGAAGCTTTCTCCTGTCCCCAGAATTAATGATGAAGAAACCGATGGGAGCAGTGGCTTTAGGAGAGGACCTGTTCCTCTGCTCTTGGGTGGTTTCCACAGAGAGGGTTTGAGGCAGGGGTGCAGCCAAGAAGAACTCAAGGGTACGCAGAGTTCACTTATTATTTTAAGCAATGCAAAGTTTGCACTTTTCATAACACAGCAAAGTAAGAACACATGACCCTGCTGAGTTATTTATTGCAACACCTCTGAATTAGCAAAAGGTGCCTTTGCTATCCCCACAAAACGGCCTTTATAATTTTTCTTCCTCTGAAGTGCCTGATCTGCCAACAAAAAAAAAAAAAAAAAAGAGTTGTTGGTTCCAGCACTGCAGCGTGTGCTGCACTTAGTACTGGTGGCAAAAAGGAGCAGAAAGGACTCACAGACCTGATCGAGTACTCAGTTGGATCTTTCTTCATTTCAGCTCTAGCGTTAAGCCTGCAGTAAGAAGTAAATGAGTTACTTAATATAGAAGAAACTTTATCTCAGTGGGCAGAAAAGCACTGCAGGTTGTTCAACAAACCATGTGTGGTTGCCAAGCTCATGGTCCTACCTGACCCTACTCACGATGACTGTCATCCTGACAGGCCACTTCAGACCCAGCTCTCAGGTGACCGACTACAGCAGATTTCTCTGGCTCTGCCATTTCTCCTATTCATGGCCACACTCAGGCTAGGTGGACAACAAATTGTGCATGCACTAGATGAAAAACTGCAGAATTATCCTTATGCCAAGTGTATCAGTTGGAAGATGCTAAAAATAATGACGTCCTTTGCAGCCACATCAGCACAACAAAGCACTGGGTTTCCAAGCAAGACCCAGGACCTGCCTGAAGCTAAGCCTTGGACAAAACTTTCAGACCATAGCCACCTTCTGAGAGCAGACTTCTCGTTACTAGATACAACATGAGCCATCTTCTGTCCCTCCGGTAACCACAAAAAGCAACTGCATTGAAAAACATTCAAAACAGACTATTTTCTGAGAAAAACTACCATTTTATCTTCAAAGAAATACACTAATGCCTTAAGTGGAAAGCCTGACTACCATCTTGGGCTAAAAACAATCCATACTCCGTAGCTGAAAATTACAACCAACCTGGGACCCTTGAGTGCTGTGCACAGCAACACATATCATGCACCAGCAACCGTTTATCTTTTATTATTGACTTCTGACCTCGAGGGCAGCTTCCATTTCTTGTCCACTTTCTCTGCTTTAGAAGCAGCACAGATTGGAGGCAGCGGGGCTGGTGCTGCCTTCCTTTCTCTGTCATTTACTTCTGTGCAAGAGCAAAGCCTTGGGGCAGCGAGGACCAGGGGAGCTGCCAAAGAAAACAGCAGGAACCACTCTTCTACACCAGGGACTGAAACAGCCTGGAGGCCTCATGCATCTTATGTAGAGGACAAAATTAACCCTTAAATTGGCCTTAGCAGGAGCCACACTTCGAAAAATAACTCAAGACAATGCAGGGGAAAGTCTGCAGGCTTCACGTTTGGCAGTGCCTGCAAATGAAACCACATTTTAAGTGTCTCTGAAGGGGGCAACAGGGGAAGTCTTCGGAGGGAAGAGCAGATCCCAGATGATAGCCAGAAGGTGGAGGTGGTGGAAGAATGACCACAGGCTTTTCAGAGCCAGTCTAGCTATTCTGCAACTTCTGAAGAGAAATCTTAGAGGTGCAAACCATCCTATATCTTCTCCTGTCCTTGGACATAAGGGAACAATTTAGGGAACTCTCCTCAGTGGAGGGACTTCTCATGTCTTTCCCAGTAGGAGAAAATGACCTGACCCAGGATTACTGGTGGAGGATATTTGAACCGAGGTGGGTCACTCTCTAAGCCATTTTCCTCTAATTGTGTTGTATTAAAAATACACAGATAACATTGAAATCAGTAATTCTGTGTCCTTTCAAACAGAATAAGGAGACAATCAATTAAGATGCTCTGGTTCATAGACCCAGCTCTGTGCTGACTCTGCCAGGGAGCTTACAGGGTAGCAGATTCCTCTGCAGCACTAGTATCTGCAGCAAGGAACAACTGATGGCAAGCACCTGAGGGCAATGCCTTGCTGGTTACACAGAGAGCTGCTCACTGGCTTCAGGTGAGCAAGTGGGAGATTTCTTCTTTAGATTTGATACATCCTGGCTTTAACTTCATACACATTTTAAAAGTGGAAGTGGGTAGCAAGGGTGAAAGCATTTTACATACAGCCAATCCTTTGGAGAGGTGATGTTAAGCACATAACACAACTCAGGGAAGCAGAGGAAGTGCACTGGCAGTAAAAAAGCGTGTCACAATGATTTGTCTCAACTCCTGCAGAGGCAATTTAATGTTATTTCACTGACAGCGTACCAAGAACACACAGGAATTTGCGCTAGTGTCAGCGTAACTTTTATTTATTTATTGCTGTCAATATGTACAGTAAAGGAAGACCCGATGTGGCTACCTCCTGAGTACAATACTTCTGTGAAGTCTGATATTGTGGCTTTTGATGGTAATAAATCAAAGGTACTGCATTCACAAACTGCAGGGTGATTTTTCCCAACTGCCTGAATTACAGATACACTCCCTGGTTGTCCTTTTTTCTATCCCTTCCAGCATCATATAATATAGACCTTGTAACTGGAAAATTGCCAGAGATCATGTGAGGACAGTGTAAAGAGGAAAACCAGCTCTGTATTGCTTTCTCACAGCCCTTCTGCCTTTTAGGAGCAAGAATTCATTTGTGGCTTTCTAGCATGCAAGCGCGAGTGGAAAACACACAAAAGGATCAGGTATGCTAAGGAGAGATGCAAATTCTATTTTCCTGTCCTGTCACCTGTCATCATAAAAATGTCAGCCTTCAGTGCTGGACCCCTTGATTGTATAAAACCTCCCATCCTGTCAGAAGGATACCGTTCAGTAACTGCCTGAAATGGAAAGTACAGGCTGTGCCTTCAATGCTGTTCCTCTGGTCACACCACAGTGACTCCCTCCAGGAGCATCACCCCCCAGCACGCTCCTCCACCCTGCATTAACTCCTCTCCTCTGGCTGGCAAGCCAGGGCTCCCTTCCCAGCCTCATCCCTGACTTCTCCCTAGAAACAGCACTGAATTGGTAGGGAATGACTTAGGTGGCCAGAAGCCAAAGCTTGGGACTGGACAGCGTCACAGTCTGCACGGGGCAGGTAAGCAACTACCCCAGTGTCACTGGACATATGTAATACCCAGGGGTACTGATGAGGGGTCCAGCCCTGAAAGCCTCAAGAAACCTGCACTTAAGACCCTCTGAGCCCTAACCGTACTTCTGCTACTAACTTCATTCACTTTTATATCGTTTATTCCTTTGTTTCCCAATTTATACGACAGGGGTAACAGCATCAGTTTGAGTGTGCTTGTCATGTGCTCTATAAGCACCAGGCAGTGCTGTTACTATGGCTTGGGTAATAGTAGCTGCTTGCTTAAAACAGGTGGGAGAGGCTGCAAGGTTTCCACAACAAAGTGATTTCTCTCCTGTAACATACAGGATGACCACATACAGGGCAAATCTTCCCCTGCAATAACCACATGGTGAGAACTTGGGAGGGGACAGAGGCCAGTCAGAAGGCCACCTCTGAAGAGGCTGTCCACAGCACCTCTCAGTCCAGCCTTGACTTGCCAGCGGTCCCAGTTTGACCTAGATAGCCTGGATTGCTATTAAGAGGATTGGTAGAGAGCAGTACAAAGCCTTGGACTCGGGCTATTCACTGCAGCACACACAAAGATGACTGTCTGCACCTCCACAGCCCTGACAGCTTGCTGCTGACAGTGTTTAATTCTCCAAGCAGCAGCAGTTTTGTTGCTGGACACTCCTCGCCCACCTGTCCTCCAGCTTGTTTTACAGAGGTGATGAGGAAGCTATCAGAGCTGAGTCATAGGCTCCTCCACACTGAATCTGCCTATAGATAACACCTTCTGCAGCACATAGCTCTGCTCCTCCTTCTAGCAGCGACAGCCAGATGTTCCAATGCAAAAAAAAAGTGTAAAGGTAGCCCCAGGACGTTCTGCCACAGTCAACACAACACAACCCTCCCTCCAGCTTGCATCAATGCTGCTGAGTTACCTATAAGCTCTTCTCTGTACATGATCCTCCTTGGAGCCAAATCCACAACATCCTCAGGTTGTCTTGTGTGGCTATCATTTGCTTGAAATGATGTAGCATCAAGAAGTTGCCCTGTGTTTGATGTTACTGCCTATGCTTGGGAGGCTGGGACTGCTGGTCTTCAGAAAATGTGCCAGGAAACCTGCCCCACCGAAGTGCTGATTGACTAGGGGTGTGTAGCGAGCCTTTTCCTAGAGGGGAGCAGGCAGAACAGGGTAAGCTGTGTCCATAAGCTGTGTCCCACTGGGGAGGTTACACTACCTGGAGCATAGGCTGATAAAGGGCTTTCCCAGAAGCACTTGTGTTTGGCAGACAGACTAGTCAGGAAAGGAAAGAAGAGGCACTTCCTAAGCTACGGTCTGGTTCACTTTAACACCGACCATGGTATCTTGGCAAACGTGGCTTAACATAAGCAGCTGAAGCAAACAGAGCTGGAGTGATCAGCAGAGAAGGTTTGCCAGGGAGCATTCAAACTAAAGCAAAGCCACTAACTGAGTGAACTGCCTACACACAAATTTCCCCCACTTTCTCCACTAAACGGCAAATTTCCCTTCTGACCCTAGTGCCCAATGCTGTAACTTTTGCGGAGCTGAATGGCAAGTTGAGACCAGAAGTCCCCTCCTCACAACAGTCACTTTTTGTCCCCCGAAGCAGAATCCTTTTGCGACCTCATGATTTGATAGAGAGTTTCCCTGAAGTGCTGGTCCTGGCTCAGTTTTTTGGCTGCTTCTTTCAGCTCCTCAATGTTTTCAGCTTCTGTGTGCGAGAAGATGAAGGACTGGGACTGCTTCACTGAAAGAAGAGCAGCACAGAAAGGTCAGCACTCTCCGTCAGGGACACAGACTGAAGACAGCTTCACTAGAGCACATGAGCCATGCGACCAATATAACTGAGAGTCTCGCAAGGGGTAAGCTAACTATTGGACTCCAACAGCTTCACCTTGCTGTTTTCAGAGGAGGAAAATGCTGACAGCATGGAAACACACTTTTCTTCTTTACAGCTGCCTCTGATTTGGGGTTCTACGTAGAACCTGATCTAACCTTGCAGGTAGCCGCTCTGAGCACTGTATTGGATTGGACAATGTCCAGGTGTCCCTTCCAATGTAACTCAGTCTATGATTAAGCATTCAGATGAAGTCAGTTTTGAGTATGTTTTTTTTTAGGGGCCCAGGACCATCACAGCAGTTACCTTTCAACATACATGAAGAGACAGGCAACCAGCAAGCAGACTCAGTGTCTGTTCTCTGGGTAAGGAAGCTCCAAGTTTCTCTGTAGCTCCATTCTACTACTAGGGAATATGAAGCATGAACCACATTTGCAGATCTTACTGCTCTGCCAGCCCCATCTGCGCACATCTGCTCCTGCAGGAGATAGAGTAAGAAGCTGCCTGATACCTACAGTCATTCCACGAAGCACTGGCTCTCCGGCGGTGGAAACGGCAGCTCTTTATGCGGCGGGTGGCAGCCTTGTGGATGTACACAGAGTTCTTCATGATCACAGGCATCTTGGCCTCCAGCTCGGCGTTGCGGATGCACTCTTCAAAGAACTCTGAGGAGAAGACACCGTTGTGAGCAAGTGACAGGAGACACTTCAAGCAGTGAACCAGTCACAAAGGACTGCACTCACTGATGGGCTGAGCCAGGCAATGCCGTTTGACACCTCCCTAGATCTTCATGAACAACAATCCATGATGCTTCAGAATATCGTCAGAATGAACAAGGTCAAAGTGGCAAAAACCTCAGTCCCCAACAGATGCATACTGAAATTATAGAAAGAATTGAACCATCCATTCCCCATCAATCATTCCCATAACTGCTCATGATTCAACTGCCAAAACCCTCTGATATTCTGATAAAACTTCTCAACTCTCTTGCAACAGAGGGGCCAAAAACCTTGCTCATCACAGGACTTCTAAAATCAGTCAAGTCGAACTGCGGAAAGGGAGGTGTTGGCAACACTGGCATGGGCACATGCACCCAGGCCATACACAGCCAGGGATTTCTTAATAGCATAGCAAATACTAGCACATACATACATAATAGGCTCCATGGAAAGCCTCATGTCCAAACTCTGACAAGGTAATTCTGTTCCAATCTGCCACACAAGCGGCTTTTCCTGGCCCATTTCCTTTCTTATGGTCTAACCGGTGTATCTTCTGCCATTCTAGTCTTGCTGTTCTCCTGCCTATCGCTGGTCTCTCGCTGTTCAGAGGGCTCACATGTTAATGCGCCTCAACTCTTACATGAAAGGGAAAGGCAGAGCTGCAGGAATCACTTGGAAGGACTGAGGCAATTTGTGCTAAGACTGATGTTAAAGAAAACATTACTGGTCCCTCACCTTCTCTAATATTTTGCTCATCACTACATTTTTACACTTTTGAAGAAAACATCCCGCAAAATCAAAGACTGGAAATGAGTGTCAGGAGACATTCAGTGCCAGAGGTTGCTCACTTACGCCCTGTGCAGGTAGCTCAGCTCTAATTGAATGCTGAGCTCAACACATCCACTTTAGCTCACTCAAGCCAGATGCTAGGCTAATGCCCCATCTTACTGCATTGGGTTTCTATGGTGGGATTTTGGTAGTAGGGGAGGGGCTACAGGGGTAGCCCTGTAAGGATCTCCGAGAAACTTCCCCAGCTCCAAGTTGGACCCATCTTTGGCCAGGGCAGAGCCAGTCAGCACCTCTGTCAATGACACATTTAAGAAGGGATAAAGGAATCTGCACCATGCAGGACCTGCAGTGGAGGGATGGAGGAAGTGAGGGCTTGGCCACTTGACTGGAGATGGCCATGGTGGCACAGCTTGGAGAGCTCCTAAGTGCCCCAAAGCACCTGCTAGGTGGAGTTTGTCCAGCTGGGACCATCAGGATTTGTCAGGCTGGTCGAGCCTAGCATGGCTGCAGTGGAGAGGGGACTGAGACCTGAGAGAAACAGCTATGCAGACACCAAGGTCAGTGAAAATGGAGTGGGAAGAGGTGTGCTGGAGCGGAGATTTCCCTGCAGCCCATGGTGAGACGGCAGGCAGCCCCCCTGCAGCCCATAGAGATTAATGCAGAGATCTACCTGCAGCCCATGGAGGACCCCATGCCAGAGCAGGTGGCTGAGCCCGAAGAAGCCATGACTCTATCTGATGGGTAAGGACTGGATTTTGTGGGAAAGACTGATGTTGGAGAAGTTTGTGGAAAACTGTCTTCCCTGAAAAGGCACCCCATGTTGGAACAGGGGAAAAGTGTGATAAACCCTCCCCCTGAAGAGGAAGGACTGGCAGAAACAACATGTGACGAACTGACCACAACCCCCATTCCCTATCCCCTTGTGTTGCAGTGGGGAGGAGGTAGAGCCTGGAAGTAGGGGGTGGGGGAAGGTGTTTTTAAGATTTGGCTTTGTTTCTCATTATTTTCTCTCATGTCATTGGTGAAAACAAAGGAAAAATAAAAAGGCAAAGAAACAGGGATAAGCTGTGAGCAACCTCAGTCTTACACTCGACCTGTGGACTGCTGTCATCTCAGCACAGCAGTGCTGGGCTGCTGCAGTGATTCAGCTCCAAGTAAGGATCCAAACTTCACCTGCTGGGTCACCTACCAGCATGTTGCTACAGCAACCACGGTCCTTCTTATACTGCTGATGTTCTCGTAACCAAGGCTGAGAAAAAAATTATCTTGAGGGGAATCAGAGGACCCTTTATAACTCAGACCTAGTCAGTCTTTACGGCTCTGCTACAGCTTCCCTTTCTGACATTCTGGAAAGCATTTGCTTATCTCTACCTCTAGATTTGTCTTCCATCCAACAAAGAAGGCTGGGATAATTTTGACCTCCTTTGAAGGCAAAACACCAAGTGCCTGCATAGCACATTCTGGCTCCTCAAAAGGGAGGTGTGGTTGAGGTACAAGGAGTTGGGAGAGCACATTATGTGCGGTTTTGCTAATTTAGGAACTTCTTTTTGTGTCTGGGAAGACAGGTAGAAATATTTCCTCTCCAAGCTTGCTCATCAGTAGAGAGGATGGATGACTGACTTACTTCTCAAGTTACTAACATCTGCTTTCATCTTCTCCTCTTTCTCCTTGTTGAAATCCAGAGAATTTAAGCCTTGCTCCAAGCTCTGCAATGCTTTCTCAGCTTCTCTCAGTCTCTTCTCCAGATCCATGCGCACCTTCACCTCAGCCTGAGGAAGAGAATAAGCATTGCTGAAAAACAGCTTGCATCTCAATGACCATCCTGCTAACTCACATCATCTGTGAGGGACCCACCAAGCAGACGAAAATGAAAAGATAACAATAAGGAAAACCAACGGAAATATTGTAAGACAACATAGAAGTTGTTCCTCATGTCTTCAGACACAATCTGAATTTGAAGTCCAGGTTATTTTAGTAATTCTCCTTTACTCTGACTTTTATTTTCACAGCTTTCCTCTCATTGTATGAACCATGTGGAATCAGAGATGGTGTTTCAACATGTGAATTTGTGCTTATGCAAGTACTTGCAGCTGAGCAGGAACAGGAGGACATCATTCCAGCTGAAAAGGACTTGAGATAAAGGCAGTCAATTCCCACAATGGGGTCTACAGTACTTAGTTTCAGAAACAAAACACAATAAAAGTTAGAAATAAAGGATAATATCATAGTAGCTTAGCAATGAAATTAACTAATACAGCTTAGATCAACTTAGCTTTACTTTGGCCAAGTGGAAAGTTACAGGATAAGAAAATCTTGAACGTGCAGGAAAAAGAAGAATTGGGGTATTTTTGGACAAAATATTTGTAGAAGGAGGTTGAGTGTCAAACAGTCAATAATAAGCATAACCTTTATATTATTTAGATTAAAATAAAATAGCATACTTTGTCCAATTACCTTTGCATAGATCAAGGTTTCTTCAATTACTGAGATAATGAAGGAAGGCTGGTACCTCATCTGCTTTCCTCTGCTTTTGAACCTAAATTCATGCAGAGGTTGCTGAAGATTTACAAATCTTAAGATTGATTCTCTGAGCACAAGTGAGAAGGGAAGATTTCTGCTCTGTTCTGCAATGTCCATATTAACATCTTTGAAAAAAATCTTTGTTCTTGATTGTGTCTACTTTCCTCTTACTTTTTTTCCCTCCTTTCATCTTTAGATGATGCTTTCACAGTAGCAAAAGAAAAGCCTTTTACTGAATGGGTTAATCGGGCGTCAGAATGAGACAATGTATAGCAGTACTACATAGATACAACATGGAAACTTCACATGTTAGCAAATTAAGATTTGTGACCACAAAATGAAAACAAAATAAAACCAAGTATCCCACGTGATAGGAGATTAACTGAAAGGGAAAATGAGAGAACTCTGGGCCCAGGGACAGCAATATGCAACATATGCAGGGGATACCTTGAGGTCTCTCTCTGTCTGCTGCTTCTCCGCAGTCAGCTCCAAGAGAGAGTTCTGCAGCGCCCGTGACTGGGAAGAGTAAAACTCCCTCTCCTCCTCCAGTGCTCGGGACCGCTCCTCATTCTCCTTCATCCTGGTGCACAGCACAACAAAAGAAGATGACTATTCCCACCCCAGCACAACTCACAGGAAGGAAGGGGCTCAGTATCATGACGGGGCGTGCTTAACTACCTGGCTGCCCTGAGTAAAAAGGTACTAACAGGAGCGCTGTCTGTCTTTCGCTTTAATAACACAGGCATTGCTGGAGAAAACCAACTGGACAGTTCTTGAATGGAACATTCTTAACCCCCAGAAGAGATCCAGGAGCACCAAACACTTCTTATGAAAGTCCATGAACACCAAATGGATTCACGTACCTAAGTCCTGATTTGAAAGCAGCAGGCTCTCACTCTGTCCCCTCCGAAACATTTATAACCCAAATATATAAATATTTATATATATATAATAAATAAATATAATATATATAAAAATATAAACTCCTGCTGCCTGGGAACCAGACAAGCTTCCAGGCTTGTCTTGTGTTGGCAATCAAAAAGCAAGTCAGCAGATAGTCACATCATTTGGCACCACTAAGCCTGAGCAGGGCAGAAGTGTTCTCTTCCCTTTACCGCACCCAAGAATGGAAATTATAAAGGATCTTGCCTCGCTGCGGGTCTCAGTATAAACAAGGGAACAGTTTTGAAGTGATCCTAGTTTTAAGCCTGGAAATACTTAGCCATACTCTTTCTGATTGCCTCTCACCTGCGAGGGGAAAACTACTTTTCCCCACAACCCTCTTCACACTGGATCGCATCTTGTCCCACAGCCCTGTCTCTGGCACCACTGTAAGGGCCCCTACCCTCACTTCACCTCTTCTCTGCCAGGAGTTTCTCCTCCAGAAGTTGCTGCATCTTCTCTTCAATCTGTTGCAGGCTGCAGTGCAGTCCCCAGCTGGGGCTTTGCTCCTTGCTGGGGCTGGTTGGAGGTGACAGCTGGCTCTCGTTTTCTTCCAGCATCTCCAGCATTTGCTGCTTTTCCAGGGAGAGCTCCTTGAAGAAGGACAGAGATTGTATCAGCCAAGTCTAACGTTTCTGCTCCTGTTCCTGCCTGGCTCCTCCATTTTGAGTCCCTCCACCCTTATATCCACATAGAATCATAGAATGGTTTGGGTTGGAAGGGACCTTAAAGATCATCTAGTTCCAAACTACATGCCTTATTCATGTTGAAAACAGGAATAACAAAATCTGGTTTTCATTTCATACCTGCCTCATGAGGAGCAAGCCTCCACCATAGCCTTCACTATACAAGGGGGTGAGAACCTGCAGGCTCCTTTGACGTGATATGCTAGTATGGACCCAGCTCAGGGACTGGAACCTTGTGCTTCCCTAGTCCATCACCAATGCAGGCAGCTTGCCTGCTTTCCATCCTCACCTTGCTCCTCACTGTGAACTAGAGGCATCCTCTCTGTGGTACTTCTAACTGCAGGGCAATAGGACGTATCATGCTGTTTTCCTGTGAAGTGTTCGGTCCAGTGTGCAACTAGGGCATGAATGGTCCTTCCCTAGCTTTCCAGTTCTTTTTCCATACCCATAACTGCGGGCAAGGAGAAGAGCTCAAAGGAACATCAGCAATAGATTTTTGGACAAACTTGCAGGATTTGACATCAACATTCATAGATTCATAGATTTCTAGGTTGGAAAAGACCTTAGAGATCATCGAGTCCAACCATCCCTAATCCCCATTAAACCATATCCTCAAGTAGATCATCCACCCTATTCTTAAACACATCCAGGGATGGGGACTCAACCACCTCCCTGGGCAGCTTATTCCAGTGGCTGACAACCCTTTCAGAGAAGAAATACTTCCTAACATCCAACCTGAATCTCCCCTGACTAAGCTTATGCCCATTTCCTCTTGTTCTATCACCCATCACTAATGTAAAGAGCCCTTCCCCTACCTCCCCACCATCTTTTCTCAAGTATTTATAGGCCGTAATCAGGTCTCCCCTCAGCCTCCTCTTCTCCAGGCTAAACAACTCCAACTCATCCAACATTAAGGATGACTTTGAGGCATCAGAAGGCCAGCTGTGTGAAAATTTCACGAACAATACACATTGAGAAGAGCCACTTTCCAACAATCCACCAGTGATACCAAGTAAGGAAAGGGTTAATACATCAACATACTATTTCCTAAATTCCTGTGTGGTATGTGATTCCCTGGGAACCATGCTCCCTTTTGTGAACAAAGAATGCCTCTCTGCTCCTCTAATTTCCACCAGGACTTAGGGAGATGCAGTTAATAAAAAAAAAAAAATAATCAGAAAGCTATCTTAGACTTATAGTCATGTTGGCTGGAAGGAACCCTCAGGTAGGCTCTAGTCCAGTCTCTTGTTCAGAGCTGGTCTGTCAAAACAGCAAGATGTGGTCAGCTGTGGCTTTCTACAGTTGAGTTGTGAAAATCTTTCAAGATGGAGGCTCCTCAGCCTCTCTCACTGCCTGCCTACCTGTCTGGTGAAAAGTCCCTCCCGTGTGCTCAACCTGAGCTTCCCAAACTGCAACATATGGTTATTGTCCTACATCGCATCACCTGGTACTGCTGAGAAAAGTTTGGTTCTGCTGAGTTCTATTTCACTTCTAGTCCTTTTCTGCAGGGGATTTTGGCCTTCATATCAGCCACCAAATGAACCTGTTCATCTGCACAGGATTTAACTCCAGCACTAGTGGATGTTAGATTCATTCCATGAGACAGCATTGCTTTCAGCCCTGCTCGGTTCTCACAGATCATTCCCAAAATGCTATCACTCAGAGGGGAGAAGTGGTCACTCACCTCTAGGGTTTTCTGTAAGGACTGTGTCAGGCTTCGCAACTCTTTCTTTTCTTCCTCCACTCCTTTAAGGGAGCGGGCTGTGAGCTCTAGCTCCCTAAAGAAGCAAAGAGAGTGATAGCTATTGCAGGGGAACACTAGCCCTGCAGACTGCACTCAGACTGCGCAGGCTGTGGATCTCTCAGTGCGGGACCTGCGACCGGTGGTTGGTACTGGCAGCCCTGGAGAGTCAGGAGCTTGCCTGGAAGCACCACGCATTGAACACGCTATGGGTGTCCAGGAACTTTACTGTGCCTCCTGGTCGTCAAACCAAACCCAATCGTTAGTGTGCTTCTCTAGCAAGGGCAGGACCACGTTTGCAACTGAAAAAGCTCAGACAGTGCAGTCATATCTTAGCAGACATAGGTCTATGAAAACAAAAATGGTTTGCAAAATCACACTGGCTTTTCTGAGATGTTATTTGGGAGAGAAAAGGAAAGAAAGAGGGCAATGGCAAAACATGCCCTTTCAACACTCAGGGCAAAGCACTTGGATCCTTCCCTTTCTAAATACATTTGCTATTCATGTTTTGCATAGTGCAACTCTTAAAATGACAAAACTGTTCTGTGAGGCAACTTCATCATCCATCCATCGTCATTCAGCTGGTGGTGGAAAACCAGATTCAGATGTCTGAAGCCCACATGGCTGGTCAGTCTATCAAACTAATTGCCTCTCTGAAATCCTCTAGCACCAGTCCATTGCCATGCTACCCCAACTAGTCTGGGATTTGTTCACATCTGAGCCCTTTGAAAATGAAGTTGCTGGAGTCCTGAATGCAAAGTGAAACTAAACTGTATTTTGTCAGTCACATAAGTCATAGCAAACACAGGTAAACAGATCTTAACTGTTCCTGTTTTGGTTAATATTGCATTTATCTCCTTCCTACATGCACAAAATAGATGGATTTTATGAACTGTTTTGCTTCCCCGCCACAGCAGCGCTTCTGCCCAGTGTGGAAGTTTGTGTCCTCTACCTGCCCTGGGCAGTTTTCTGTCTTACTGTCTGATCTGTTCCTGCTCCAGCCGCAGCTCCCGTACCACCTCTTCGAACTGGTGCTTCTCTGCTTCCAGGACCTGGTTCAGACGCTCAAGTTCCTGGACCAAAAGAGAAGACAGGGATGTACTCTGCTGACACACAGTTTGGAAAGGCTTCCCTGTTAACAATGCCTGGGAGTTTTAACCTGAGTTATGTAGAGCCATGGGGTGTCCAATTCCACCACGCTTTTGTCCAGGGACAATTAGAAGACATTGTTGAAAAGGGTTGTTTCAGGACTTTGAGACATCCAGAAGTGTCAGCCAGGTCACCAGGCACCTGGAAATCCCAGACATGTTCCCTGCACAGATCAGCTCTGCCGCACATATACAGAAGGTTCAAAGCTCCCTGGGAAAGCTGGACTCAATATGCATGTACCATTTCCAGGCACCCACATGTGCAGGTACAGAAAGCCTGGACAGGAATGCGACAACCTCAGCTTTGGTGCACCTGAAAGCATGATATTTCTGCTAGCTCAGCCTTGCTTCCCATTCCCACTGGGACAAGACAACACAAACTGCACAGTTACAGCTTTGCATGGTTTAATCAGCCTGTCACTATCACTTTTTATTATCTACCGCTAATAAAGAGTGCTGAATACCACAAGCTATTCTCAAGCAGTGAAACAGTCTCTTCCTCTAGTCTAGAGGAAGCAGTTGAACCAAGACCTACTTCAGATGGAGGTTCCCCGCTCCTGGTCAGGTCCCCTTGCAGCCTTAGCTGCTAGGCAGAACTCCTGCTGCAGTCCCAGGCAGGTCACAAAACTGCACTGACACCAGATAAATTCATAATAAGACTCCTGCTCCATGGTGCAGATACATGGTTCAAGCTGCTTTCCCAACATATTGCTCTGAAGCCTTCAGGCTCATAGCATAGAATCATAGAATGGTTACGGCTGGAAGGGACCTTCAAAGGTCATCTAGTCCAACCCCCCTGCAAGGAACAGGGATATCTCCAACTAGATCAGGTTGCTCAGGGCCTCGTCCAACCTGGCCTAGAATGTCTCCAGGGATGGAGCATCCACCACCTCTCTGGGCAACCTGTTCCAGTGTTCTACCACTCTCATGGTAAAAAATTTTTTCCTAATATCCAATCTGAATCTACCTCCCTCTATTTTAAAACCATTACCCCTTGTCCTATCACAACTGGCCCTCCTGAACAGCCTCTCCCCATCTTTCTTGTAGGTCCCCTTGAGGTACTGGAAGACCGCTATAAGGTCACCCCGGAGCCTCCTCTTCTCCAGGCCGAACAGCCCCAACTCTTTCAGCCTGTCCTCATAGGAAAGGTGCTCCAGCCCTCTTAACATCTTCGTGGCCCTCCTCTGGACCCTCTCCAACTGGTCCATGTCCTTCTTGTGTTGGGGGCTCCAGAACTGGACGCAGGTCAGACTGCCACAGCTCAGTGAGCTATAGATTCATTCCTTCATCAGTACCAAACTCCTTCAAACTAACCTGGTCCCATCTGCTCTTTGTGGGCAACGGAGATACCGCGCATGGCTTTGCAAGAGCAGAGATTTATTCCAGGGTCTTTAGACAAGGGCATTTCCCTCCCTATGGCCGCGGGTTGTGCAGCAGACTACCTCACCAGAAAGGGATGTCTCCCTGCAAAGGCAGAAGTAGCTTAGTCCTAAAGGAGTGTCTAAGCCACCTTTGGACTTTAGCTCTGCAGAAATGTGCACAGGAAAAACATAGGCCTGAGAAGCCTAGGTCAGCATTGTCTTCTGCTAGAGAGGGGTGACAATCATTTTGGATTAACTGGAAAAGAGAGCGTGTAGCAGTTTGCAAGATTGTAATGTGGCGGTCTACATCCATTCAAGCTTTCCTCCTGTGTAATAGGACAACATATTTGCAAAGCTATCTTGCAATAATTTTATGATGGTGCTGTAAAAAATGATATCATTTTGGCATAAATATGAGAATGAGTTACTTTTATTATATTAAGCAAATATAAGGCAGGAATAGTTTGGAAAACAATTATAAACTTGATAAATTAAGGTATAATAGTCACATCTATAGGAGTCCTCTTTTGAGTTTTCCCTAGTGCAATGTTTATTATTCTCCCCATCTCTGTTGTGTTCAACGAGCAAACCGCATTGCTTTTTGCTGCTCCTTGTTTCTCACAACACTATCTTTACACAAGAACAATGTCAGATCTGCTTATTTGCCTTCTAACTGTGGAGACTGACAAGTTGATTGCCACAGTCTTTTTCAATCTGCCAAATAAGTGTATAATGCAACCCGGTGAATATGATTTTAATCTGATCTTTCTCCCTGGTCCTCCTGGAGACAAAAATCACAAGCACACTGCATGGAAAGTGCCTGGGAAGGGGAGCAGGGATACACCTCTAGGACCCATCCCATGGCACAGCTCTTACGCCTCTCTTCAACCCCAGGGCCCAGAGGTTGGCTGGAGACTCTTTTGGCTCCACAGACTCCCTCCCTGAACCCTGACATGCCTTCAAACCAACCACTCCCAACCTCCCAGTCCTGCCACATGGAAGTTGAAGGAAAATGGCTTGTGACAAACACTCACCTCTTTTTGCTCCCTCTGCAGACACAGCTCTTCTGTTTCTTCCATTAGCTTATCTGCGAACACACACACACAGGCCAAATGCAGAGAAAAGCAATTTATACCCTGAGGATATTTATGAGCATGAAACACTGACTGTTTGAAGCTTGAAAATGCAGCATTCCCTATAGCTCTGTGTGTATCTATCTGCGAGGCTCCAAAAGCTGAGATGACACTAATGGGATGTCCTGTAATTTCCCTCCTGCCAAATAACTTAATAAACTAAACAATCATATTGCTGTGTATTCCTTCTAAGGTTTCCTCTCAATGCTCTTAAAGAGCATTAACAAACTAACCTTCACAATCCTCTAGCTGAGTCAGGAAAATATTCTTATCTCTGCTTCACACGGGTGGAAGCAAAGGCACAGAAAGGTTAAGCGGGTGCCCAGGGTCACACATCACGCAGCAGCGGTCAGGTGTCCTCCTGCAGCTCAGTGACCCATCTCTATCAGCCTAGCAAATCGCCCTCTCCTTCAGCTTCCTGGGCATCACTGCCAGCTACCTATTGTCACCTTGGGATGTCCCAGTCAAGCCCAGAAATCAATCCTCTAACTTAGCCACAAAACTTTTCGCTGCTAAGAATAGTTCTCCTCAACATCAGTTGCTCTTGTCTACTGAGAAGGACACATGCCCACCAGAAACTGCTCTGATCCTTACACTGTGACCCGAGGTACCTACATTGCTAAGCCACTATCCATCATATTTCAGAAGTCGTGGCAGTCTGGTGAAGTTCCCACTGACTGGAAAAAGAGAAACATAGCCCCCATTTTTAAAAAGGGAAAAATAGAAGACTCAGGGAACTACAGGCCAGTCAGTCTCACCTCTGTGCCCAGCAAGATCGTGGAGCAGATCCTCCTGGCGACTACGCTAAGGCACATATAAAATAAGGAGGTGATTGGTAACAGCCAACATGGCTTCACTAAGGGCAAATCCTGCCTGACTAATTTGGTGGCCGTCTATGATGAGGTTACAGCATTGATGGATAGGGGAAGAGCAACTGACATCGTCTACCTGGACTTATCCAAAGCATTTGATATTGTCCCGCACAACATCCTTGTCTCTAAACTGGAAAGACATTGTTTTGATGGATGGACCACTCGGTGGATAAGGAATTGGCTGGATGGTCGCACTCAAAGAGTTGTGGTCAATGATTCAATGTCCAAGTGGAGGCCAGTGATGAGTGGTGTTCCTCAGTGGTCAGTACTGGGACCAGTGCTATTTAACATCTTTGTTGGAGACATGAACAGTGGGATTGAGTGCACCCTCAGCAAGTTTGCAGATGACACCAAGCTGTGTGGTGTTGTGGACATGCTGGAGGGAAGGGATGCCATCCAGAGGGACCTTGACAGGCTGGAGAGGTGGGCCTGTGAGAATCTCATGAAGTCCAACAAGGCCAAGTGCAAGGTCCTGCACATGGGTCGGGGCAATCCCAAGCACAAGTACAGGCTGGGCAGAGAATGGATTGAGAGCAGCCCTGAGGAAAAGGACTTGGGAGTGCTGGTGGATGAGAAGCTCAACATGAGCTGGCAATGTGCGCTGGCAGCCCAGAAAGCCAACC